CTTTATCATTCGAACTGTGGTTAAAAATCCATCAAAAAAATAATAAAAATAAAAATTTTGAGAAATCCATGATTTGCTTCCGGACAAAATCATTGTCTTTGTCTTTGTCATATTCTTAATTCTCAGTAATGTGCAAAGAGAGGCAGCTGTAGACACCGATTTTGTCTAATATTTTATAGATATATAATAATAATGATTTTAATAATAATGATAAAATCAATTTAATTAAAATTAAAAATCAATTAATTATAAAAAATTAAAAAAAACATAAACAACTAGAACAGAATAGAAAAAAAAATCGAAGATGACAGTGGTGTCAGGGCCAGACCCCACACCCCACCCTTCTGATCACCATACTCTACCCTCCACCCCTCTAATCACTCATCCCGTTGACAAAATTATCAAATAAGACAGAAAAAATAATAGGGCATGGGGTTCGTACTTACACCCCATGTCGAACCTTGTAGCCTTCCCTCAAGCACATGCATGGTCGGAGCTCCATAAATGGAGCTCCTAGCCAAACTAAAAAACGGACAGAAAAGGAGACGCTGCAAAAAAATTAAAAAAACACTGCAAAAACTAAAAAAAAAAACCCACAGTCCTCTCCGTAGGGAAGAATCCAATGCCGAGAGCTTCATGCACAAAGAAGAAAAAAAAAAGGTCAGTTTCAAAAAAAAAAAGGTCAGAATACAAAAAAAATAATCTCACAGAAACTTTGAAAGTAGATCTAGGGAAGTGGGGACTCTTTTTGGTGAAAATGAGGTCAGATATTTGTTCAGGAGGTCGAAAAGAGTTTGTGGGTAAATTTTGGAATTTTTCAACTACCAACGACGGCGGCCCGTGATCGGCAACCGATGGTGACAGCGATGGTGACAATGATCGGTCGGCATTGCATTTGGCTGAAGAAGAAAAAAATAGGTTTTTTTTTTTTTTTGGAAAAGGAAAGAGAATGGTTGAAAAAAAATTTGAACATTTTATATAAACGGTGAAAACCAAAACGACGCTGTTTCAATAAACGCCCAAAACGATGTCGTTTTAAGCACCCAAGATCCGCACGTCAACCCGCGACCCGACTCGGATTTCGTGCACCCTACCCATGACCCACTTCTTTATCAGCCTCTGACCAGTCTGACTAAACTGGAACTAAACCGTTGAACCAATCAGACCTCGCCCAGATCGATTCGAACCGTCGGATCGAACCGTCGACCCGAATCGCCATTGACCGAACAATTGACTGGTTCGATTTAGGTAAAAAAATTATTTTTTTTTAATTTTCTAATCTTTTTATATTATTATTTTAAGTTTTTTCTTCTTTTTTTTTATATTTATGCATGATAAGGTTTAAATTTGTTAGGATAAGTTTTTTTTAATTGTTTTAATAATAATAAAAATGAAAACAAGAAAGATAATAATTAAAAATATATTTTTAAAATGCTTAAATAATAATAATAATAATTATTATTATTATTATTATTTTCCTTGCCTAGATGTTGGAGGGAATAAAAAAAATATTTTTTTAAAGAAATAATTTCTCCTAGATGTTAGGAAATTATTATTAATAAATTTTCATAAAAAAAATATATAAAAAAATTATTGATTAATTTTTAAAAATCACTAAAATTGAACTTGCTCCAAAAATCCGCCTAGATGTTGAAGATTTTTAAAGATGTTCACACTTTCTTAAAAACGAAACCCTTTTTTTTAAAAACCAAAATCTCTTAAATCCAAACCCCAAAATTCAAAATCTCTAAAATCTAAACCCTTAAATCAAAACCCCAAACCTCAAAACCCAAACCCTAAAATCTTCAAACTCTAAAATCAAAACCCTAAACCTTCCATATCCTAAAATTCAAGCCTTAAAACCCTTTAAACCTTAAAACCAAACCTTCAAAATCTTTACTCAAGCCCTTACTCAAAACATCCTAAAAATCTTAAGGACACGTGTGAAAATTTCATTTAAAGCAATTTGTTCCCGAATGCCGCCTAGATGATGGGGTATTTAGGAAATTTTATTTCGTTAAGTCTTTTCACATAATTTCTTAATTCGCATTAATAAAAAGATTAATAAATAAAAAGTGTAATAATAAAATGGGATCTCAAATATAAATAGTCGCACCTAAGCTCTGCCTAGATATTGGAGAGTCAAGGTGGTCTCATTATATTTAAGAATCCAATTTCAAGTTTGCATTCCATCATTATACATAGCACCTATTAGCTTACATGCATTTATTTGTTATTGTTTGCACTTGTTTGCATTTTTTTGTCTTTAATTTCTACTTATTACCTGATAACACCATCATTTACTTTTTCGTATAAAATGTGTAATTTTAAAATAAAATAAAAAATAACATTCTAAAGGAAATAATTCTTAGTACTCTGCCTAGATGTTAGAGAGTCACTAACAATTATTTTCTATAAAGATTGTTATTTTATTTTAAGGATTGTTGTGTTAAATCTTAAGCGAAAATAATTATTTTAAATTCTGCCTAGATGTTGAAAAATTTTAAGATAATTGTTTAACTTAAAGATTTTCTCAATATTTCTAAATAAAATTTTAGCAAAAATTTTTTTTGAAGGGAATTAGTATTAAATTTCAAGTCAAAACCATTTTTAATTCAACGTCGAAAATAGCGTATAATTAAATGGTATTAATTTATGGGCATTGTGAGGGTGCTAATCTTTCTCCACATATAACCGACTCTCAGACCCAACTTGATTTTTCGTATATCAAAATTAATCTTTTTTATAAACTTTAAACCCATTTTTATAGTTTTATTAAAAAAATAAACTTTTAAGTAACCAATCATACCTTAACAAAAATTGATGACGATTTTTTTTTTATTTATCTTGATTTTAAAATACATTACGTCTAACGATCCCAAAATCATTACGACAATCTCCGATCAAGGTACAAGAAAGAGGTCAAAGCCACCAAATCATCACATATTAAAACATTTAAAAAATAGTGTACATATTTACATTTTTCCCCTCCCAAAATCTTTCAATTTTTCCCACATCGGCGATCCTAGGTTCCATCCAGGTTTGTTCCTTTGCATTTGTAAGTTTGTGCAAGCCAGGATGAATAAATATAATAATTTTTTTGAAGATTATAATAAAATTTTTTTTTCATTCAATAGCATATTCTATTATTATTCTTGCATGAGGTGCTTGGCATTGTGATTTGTGAGATACATAGGGAAAGGTGAAAAAAAGTATCTATCGAATCAATTTCACGTTTTCCTGGAAGGTGTTTGGTTATTAAAACAGATTTTTTTTATATAAAAAATCAAAAGAATTCAAGGTAATTAATGTCCAATTTGTTCAACTCTTCAATCCCTTAAAATAATCAAGTTATATAGCATAGTCAAGGGGTTTGAAATCTTGGTTTTAACAACCTTAAAAATGACAAATGAAAATAAAATTCGAACATTTTGGTAATTATCAATACAGCTATAAAAGGACAATAGCATCTTAACATTTGACATCCCTCTCAACGTACCATAAACTTGTTTGAATATATACGTGCTTATTTGGTTGTTATCAAACACATGGAATTACACGGTAATTAGTTCTTATTTTTAAACAATAACGTATAAATATATATGCCTTTAATCTATTTTTATTCATTAATTTTTATCAATAAATAATTGATTCTATTGGCTAAGGTTCGTTTTTTTTATAAAGAAGTTTTAGATTTAAATCTTACAAGTAATCGTTTGTTAAGATTTAAGTCTTACAAGTAATGATTTGTTAGGATTATCTCAAATACATGATTTATAGTAATTTATCTTAGACTGTCAAGTACGACATATATTATTTTGACTTGAGAGAGTAAACAACTTATTTACTTCAAATTTTATTTCTTACCAAAAAAATGCTTTATTAGCATTTTGTTTATATCATATATTTATTTAATTAATGTATCTTTAAATATAATTCAGAGATTGATAAGTTTAATATAAAGAAATAAAATTTGAATATGTTTGTAAACTTTATATTAAAATTCTATTCATTTGCGACCTTTTTTTTTTTTTTAAATCTTAAAAATTTTAATGAAAAATATGAAGTAAAAGAAAAATCAAAATAAAAAAGAATCATGCTATTTTTTTTTTTTTAAAAGATATGCATGTGATTAACTGTCCACATATTTTGAAATATTTTTTCTCAAATTATTCTTAATTATATTATTTTCAAAAAAATAAAAAAAATTAATAAAACGAACAATTGATAAAACATTCAAAACCTTATTTACCTACAATAGGCCAAATCTCATTTTTAATGTTGAGATTCAATAGCCTTGAAAAATATGCAAATTCCTTTGTTCTTCTAAAAAAAAAAATAAATGTTGTCACCTTGTGAACCTGTAGATAGCTTTCATTTAATGATAGCTTACATTAACTTGAGATTTTTTTAAAAATCTTTTTCGGATGAATTCAAGAATATATTTTCAGACGCCTTCAGAAAACAAGGAACGCAGAGTACTCCATATAAATTTTGATTTAAATCACATCATCCTACTTTGCATTGAAAACGTAATTAATTAGAGAGTTCACATTAAAGATTGGTAGATGTCAAAAAAAAAAAAGAAAAGAAAGAAAATCTTGGATGTTTCTTCTGCAAAGTATCCTAGCATATTGAATATGTCCCTTTCAACAATCTAATTAACTTACACCTGAAAATGAAAAATTCAACCCACCCTCTTAACCACAAATGCTCTTGACCGCTTCGTACAGACGAACTTTACTATGTTGTCCTAAACTTATATTCCTTATAATACGTCTTTTTTTTTGGCCAGCCTGTAATACGTCTTCACTTTCCTGACCTATCTTCCTTTATGCTCAATATTGGTACCAAAAGAAAAAAAGAAAAAAAATATTCTAGATTTTCATCTTCTGTCAATATTCATACGAAATTTCCTGTTCGAGTTTCGCTATAGTTTCGTGCATTTATATATTTATGTTCAAAAAAGCTCCTTATGCATCTATATATAGTTAGGCCTCATGAAGTCCTCGACCCCAAGACGAGGAAGAAATCATCAGCCTAGCCTCATGTCAAATTTGGTTTGCCTTTTGTTTCGTCTTCTATGTTTCTCTCTTTGGTTTCTGCTCGGAGTCAAGTCAGAGAGTACTAGTGAAATAATGAAAAAATTTGCAGAAACGAAAACCTTGGTACATGTTGGAGTAATTCTTGATTTGAACTCACCAGTTGGTTCCGTGGCAAATGCATGCATTCCCATGGCAGTCTCCGACTTCTATGCTGCTCATCCGAGCTTCAGAACAAGATTGTTTCTACACCTAAGGGACTCCATTGATGTTCTTGGCGCTGCTTTTACAGGTTTCTTTTTCTTTTTAATAAAAAGCATTTAGTGTTACTGTTATTATTACTTCAAAGAAATGGCATCCAAAATTTGAACCCCAATACCTACAATCCCAACCCCTATTTCCAAACTACAACCTCTTACGTTTAAGAAAAAAAGAAAAGGCTCGAATCAATTAGTTAGGTTAGACCAATATGCTAAACTAGTTCGTTTAGCTACATTTTAGAAGTATAATAACAAACAATCTCGTTTCATTAGTTCCAGAGTGTTTGTGACAGTTCGGAAGAAATAAAATATTCTACAAAATTATTGATACATTTGTTCCAAATAGGTTAATATGAATAATTACTTCCATTGATCATCTATGTCCATCGAATTGCAGCTCTAGAGTTGATTGATAAGGAAGAAGTTAACGCAATTATTGGGCCCCAAAGATCAATGCAAGCAAGATTTGTGATAGATATTGGCCAGAAAGCTCAAGTTCCCATTATTTCTTTTTCAGCCACAAGTCCCACACTCTCCACAACCCAAAACGCTTTCTTTGTTCGGACAGCCCTAACTGATAGCACTCAGGCGAAAGCCATCGCGGCCATCGTTCAGGCATACAGATGGCACGAAATAACCCTCATATACGAAGACACAGAATATGGAAGCGGTTTAATGCCCTATCTGGGGGATGAATTTCAACAATTTGACATTCGAGTGACTTCCAGGTTTTCCATCTCCCCAAATTCTGGTGAATTGAGGATCTTAAAAATGCTCAACAAGGTAATGGTAATGCAGACAAGAGTGATTGTGGTACACATGACCTCTTCCTTAGGGTCTAAACTCTTTTCAGTTGCAAAAGAAGCAGGCATGATTAGTGAAGGATACGCATGGATTATCACTGATGGACAATCAAGTTTGTTGGATCCCATGGGAGCAGAGGTCATTCGATCAATGCAAGGTGTATTGGGTGTAAGGCCATACATACCCCATTCCAAACGCCTTGAAAATTTTCAAACGAAATGGAAAAGTCGGATTCACTCTAATTCTACCAAATTAAACATTTTTGGTTTATGGGCATATGATACTGTTTGGGCACTCGCAAAGGCTGTTGAAATGGTTAGACATAAGAGCTCCAGTGTTACAGGACAAAATTACGGCAGGAATACAAGTCAGTTTCCTAATATAAAAGTTTCTAAAATAGGCCGAATGATCCGAAATAGTTTCTTAAAAGCCAAATTTAAAGGCCTCAGCGGAGATTTCCTTTTGGTTGAAGGACAGTTGCAATCTTCTGCTTTTGAAATCATCAACGTGGTCGATAACGAGGAAAATGTTATTGGGTTTTGGACCCCTCAGAATGGATTGACTAGGGAACTAGGCCAACCTGAAAATGCAACATATTCAACGTCCATGTATGAACTTAAACCACCTACCTGGCCAGGAAACACAAAAGCTATGCCCAGAGGTTGGACAGCACCTGTTGATGGTAAGAAGTTGAGGATTGGAGTCCCAGTGAAACCTGGCTTTGAGGCATATTTGAAGGTGGAATGGGATCGTTACACCAATGAGCCCATCGTAACAGGGTTCTCTTATGATGTATTCCTGGAGGCATTAGCGGTTTTACCTTTTGCAGTTCCGCATAAGTGTATTCCTTTCCCCATTGGTTCCAGTCTAAGAGCAGGAACATATGATGAGCTTCTTCATCATGTCAAACTTCAGGTGCGTTTAGCCTAATCTGTGACCGTATCTCCATTATTTTTTTTTCTTTTTTGTTGGTATTTGAATGTGTTAGGGATTAAATCTGCATTATTAGAATTAAAAGGTCCATCACTTTACCAACCCCACATGATAACATCTATCTCCTTTAATTAAAATGAAAAACCACAAATTTTTTAATTCCCATCCCTTTGAAATGTCAAAAGAATCTTAAGAAGAGAACAAATTTTCTTCAAATGGTTAATGTCATTAATGATCTCTAATCTATAGTTCAATGTTCAATGTTCAATATGGTGCCTAAAATTTAAATATTTTTAATATAGTACTTGAACTATAAATCTATTAATTAATATACTACATAAAAAATTATTTATACGACATGTGTTATCATTTGAAGCTAATCACGCACGTTAGAAATAAATATTATATTAATTAATAAATTTATAGTTTAAGTATCACATTATAATTTTTTAATATTCAAGTATCACATTGAATATTTTACTATAGTTTAAAGATCATTTATGATATTAATCCTTTTTCAAAGTATTTCCATTTATTTTAGTACTAATAACTTATTCTTTGTGACCATGTAGAAATATGATGCTGCAGTGGGAGATATAACAATTTTGGCAAATCGGTCTCAAAATGTAGATTTTACATTGCCTTACCTGGAGTCACATGTGTCCATGGTTGTGAAAATAAAAGATGATCAGAGAAAGAATATGTGGATATTCCTGAAGCCGCTTAGTTGGGATCTTTGGTTAACATCAGGGGTAGCGTTCATATTCACCGGTTTAGTAGTATGGGTTTTGGAACACCGTATAAACAACGACTTCAGAGGTTCCCCCAGGCAACAAGTAGGAACAGTTTTTTGGTTTTCCTTTTCAATTCTGGTGTTTGCTCATAGTAAGTAAAGTTTCTTTAATCTAATTATAAATAAATTTAAAATTCTTTTTTATCAAGCAAATTCATTGGTCTTGACCACATACTTGAATGCCTTGACTGGTTTCAGGGGAAAGGATTATAAACAATTTGTCAAGATTTGTGCTGATTATATGGATTTTTGTGGTACTCATCCTCACCCAAAGTTACACCGCAAGCTTAGCCTCGATGTTAACAGTGCAACGTTTGCGACCAACAGTCGTAGATGTCGATGAGCTAAAAAAGAATGGTGATTTCATAGGATACGAAACCGGTTCTTTCTTGAAAGACTTTTTGGTAAAACAATTGTACTTCGACGAGTCTAAGTTAAGGAATTATGGCACTGCAGAGGAGTTTGACAAAGCATTATCAACGGGAACCCAAAATGGTGGTGTTGGTGCAATTTTTGGTGCACAACATTGCGTTGAGCTTTTTCTTGCCAAATATTGCGACAAATATATGATAGCAGGACCAACATACAAAACCGATGGACTTGGTTTCGTAAGTCTTTCTCAATCCTACTCTTAAAATGTGATTGCAATTGTTAATTATATTTTATTTCATTTAACAAAGAAAAACTTGATTTTTCTTGCTTAGGCTTTCCCACAGGGGTCACCTTTAGTCGCCTATATATCCAGAGCAATCTTAACCGTGACTGAAAATAAAACGAAAATGGATGCAATGGAGAAAAAATATTTTTCACAACGAAGTGCTTGTGAATTAGATCAACAAGCAACGATTTCTTCTGATAGTCTTAGCTTGTACAGCTTCGGGGGTTTGTTCATCATTACAGCAATTGTTTCTGTGTGTTCACTCATCATTTACTTGTCTGAATTTCTACAATCTCATTGGACCACAGTACACACTACACGTCAAGACAGCTCAATTTGGTCAAAAATTAATGAATTGGTAAAGCGTTTTGATCACCAATCTCCATATCTCGTGCCCATGAGAGATGTTAATGCAACTAATATTTCACAAAGTGTTGAAGTTTTGGCTGATGCTGAAAGTATTTCAAATAGCTCAAAGGCTTCAAATGAAGGTGTAGATAATGTTGTTTCTGACAATATTACTGAGAGTAGCTCAAATGAAAGTGTAGATAATGTTGTCGTTGAGAATATTACTAGGAGTAGCTCAAATGTATGATGTAAATACAACTATTATTTCGTAATTAAGAGGAAAAAAATTAATTTATTAAATTCTTAATTTATAGTCACCGATCAAACCAAGGGAAGGAATTTCAAATTAACAATACATGGTTTAGGCTAGGTTGTTAATTTTATAGTAATACTTTCTCTTTACTTCCTCAATGTTTTTTACAAAATAAAAGCAATTAGCGACACTATTAAGTACTAAGTAACATTTCTTCTAAATGGAAAGTATAAAAGATATAATCATAATGTTTAATTAAAAATGAGCAAATGATGTAACATTACCCTGATTCAAATCCAAAAATAAATTAATTCCTTGTAAAGATAAAATCATGAAGTCAAAATTTTAATTTTTTAACTTATGAGATGATGGATGATAAACCATAATGAGCTAATCATAGGATATGGTTGTATGCGCTAACTACTATAAAAAGCAAACAAAAAGTTAGATTTAGAACCCAAAAAAGCCCAAAAAACTATTTAAGAAAAAAAGAATTAAAAGATGAAAGGCAACTATCTTTAGAGACAAAATCTATGTGAGGTAAAAATACATTTCGCAAAAGGATGGAATACATTAAGCTCTGTTGAGCTCTCTTCTATGGTGCCATTTAAAGCTCCAGCATCAGATGATCAACAGACAGGATTTTATCATGTCAATTGAAATGTGGTTAAAATAACAAAATAACATACTTTAGACCAATCAGTTTGTGTAATGTTATAGTTAAGTTGATTTCAAGATTATTTTTAGTTTGCTTAGACCATATAAAAATTATGGTTCAAGAAACGGTGCATTCTTTTGGTTGGAAGCAAGGCAAGTTTTGTGGACTCATTATGAAGATCGATTTAGATAAAATTTATGATCGAATTAATTTAGACTTTTTTCTGTGAGTATTGATGGAGTGGAACTACCTTCCACATTAATTTCACTTATTATGTTCTACGTTACATCCGTAAAATTAAATATCATGTGGATTGGAAAGATGACTTCCTACTTCAAACCTACAAGAAAACTTCAACAGCGAAATCCTTTTTCTCCCTATTTGTTTCTTCTATGCCTTTAAATATTATCTAATTTCATTGAATTGATACTTGCAGATGGAAGCTAATTAGATTGTCTCGAAGAGGTCCTACACTATCTCATGTTTCCTTTGCATATGATCATATTAAAGTTATGTATGGTGCCGAAGGCAAAAAGTTGGATAAAATTTTCAAATTTCGGATAAAGTTGTTTTTTACTTTCAGAACTTATTAACATTGTAAGCCATAGGTTTCATGCTGTTCAAAGGAGAGGAGGAAAGAGTTAAAGGCTGTTCAAATTTCTATCTTCTCTCATGTCCTTACTGTTAAATTGGTTGAGTACTTGAGTTGGTGAGATTTCTTTCTTCTAAGCCTCATGATTTTCTTTTAGTAGAAAAGAGCTATTTTAGGCAGAAATCTTAGGCGGATGGATTCGAAAAGATGACCAGACGATAAGTTTCTTTAACAAAATGGTTGCTGTAAAACAAAGTAGAAATTCTATTAAAGTTGTGTATGGTGCCAAAGGCAATAAGTGGGGTAAATTTTCCAAATTTTGGAAAAAGTTGTTTTTTTCTTTCTGAAACTTATTAACATTGTAAACCATAGGTTTCATGTTGTTCAAAGGAGCTTATGGCTTGATATACTTCAAGTTATCATATTTGCAAAATCTCGAGAGGGTTTTTTTCGAACCTATAACTAAAGGAATTAGAACCTATAAGTTTACCTTTAATAGTGATAAAACACCTGGTTCATATGGTTTCTCTACTCATTTTTCAAGTCAGCATAATCTGTTGTGTGGTAAAAGGTGAATGGTGTTCTATTTTATTTCTTCCACATAGGGAATATTATTTTATATGAGTGTGTACCAACTAGGGCACTTGTAATTAAAGCAATAAAATTTGATTTAACTGGTATATGTAGGTTTTTTTACCTTCTTTAATCCGAGATTGGTTTGAATATTTTATTTAATGTAAGTGTTTCATATGGATTGACTCTATCCTTTTGTTTTTGTACTTGGATGATTTCACTAGTCTAATCTACTTTTTTATGGTATTGTATTTTATTGCAACCACTCTCTTTTAGATCGATTTTTTTCATTTCATTTAAGTTTTTTCACTCTCATTAATTTGGTTATAAATATATCCCTTTTCCTTTGCACTCTTTCTTCCACTCAATCAACTACAGTATTCAAAATTTAGTAATTACCACACGCTTTGAACCTGCTTGTTGCATTTTGATGCAATATTCACCTTGCAATGTTTGATTTATTTGTTCTTACTAAAATTATGTTGATTTTTTTTTCATCTTTACATATATAAAGACATGTTGATTGAATAATGTCGTGGATATGATTCACTCTTTCTTTTTTACCACATTCACACCACGACACCTCTAGCTATTCACTGTTTTTGTCACGTGCTAAAGATTCGCTTAGTTTCTATTTGATTATGATATTCTTATTTTCCATTGTCTAAATTATTGATAGAGAAAATATTTGGATTTCATTTCTTAGAAAAGGTTATTTAATTTTTTTTTGATTGACAATATTTTATACAGATTCCATGAGCTTTCTGAATTTGATGAAGCCAAAAAGAGTTGTCATAGATGTTTTGCTTGGCATAATGAGCGACAAAAGAATAACTCCATCGAATCGCATGGAGTAGGCTTAGGTCGCAAAGAAACATACACCCAATTGAAAGATATGATCTATGGTGTCATAAAGATTTTTCGTTCGAGGGGACTCGATCATTAGACTTAGTGAAAATTTTCAGAGTCACCACCAATCTTTTTATAGGGTGTGATTGGTTATCCAAAATATCATCTTTTAGTAAAAAAATTTTAAAATTAATTAAAACTTACTAAAAGAAATTTAGGTCTACAAAATTAGGACTAGGTCCGGGAGTACGATTACGAGTGAGGAAGGTATCAATGTCAATCCCTGGGCGGGCGTGCCAGGCACATCAGGCGCACAAGCACGCGAGCCAAAAGTTGAGACCCGCACACCAGGCGCACTAGCGGGCATTTACACACAAGGCCTGAGAGACAAGCCTAGAACACCTTCACAGCCTACAGGCCAGCCTGCACGGCCAAGGCCTGGCCTGCACGATGCCCGCACCACTTCCAGAAGGGCCCAAGATGAGAGATATGCAAAGGGATATTTTAGAAGATCCCAAAATCAGCAAGAACCTCCTGACAGATTTGGTTGACCCTTAGAATCAAGAGATAGAATCTTGATTGATTGTAATCTTTGTAATTCCTTGATTTTAGCCTTGATCCTAGGGATTTAGCCATAAGTGAAGCTGAGAGCCTCAACTATAAATAGAGGGCTACTCCACCCTCATTTGTATACCATCAGACACTTCTGTTTCAGTGAATATAAAGCATATTCTAGCAATCTATATCTTGTTTTTCTATTTCTCTCAAACTTGCGCATTCAGCCCTTCCTATTTTTCTAGTGCCTGCACGCTGGTGTTTTAGGCTGACTTAGGCTACCAGGAGGTGATTCCAAGCCTAAGGCCACACGGATTCCGAGTCTAAGGTCAGAGCCCGTGACAATTGGTATCAGAGCAAGTTCAGTTGTACGTGTTTTTGTTATTCAGGTTAGATCATAGTCGAGGAGATGGCATCCCAGAGTGACGTTGCTAGTCAACAACCAGAGGTCTAGGAGCAAGGGCATGGAAGAGGCAAGAAGGCCAACTCGAGAGACATATAATCTACCATGAACAGTAGGCTGGCTAGGGTGGAAGTGAGCGTGGACGACATGCAAGAGAAGCTTGAGGATGTGTAGACTCACATTGAAGCACTAGACTCCATGAAGGATGAGCTCAGTGGTGAGTTGCAAGCTACTCTCAATAAGGCATAGACGTGATCACCCAAAAGAATGAGACCTTGAGGGTTGTGGTGAAGGCCTTAAGCAAGAGGATAGAGGAGCTCACCAGCGAGCTCATTGCTTGCAAGACTACCATTGGGAATGGCATGTTTGCTAAAGTGTCTAAGTCCAAGATGGATGTCCCCAAGCCTAAAGAATTCAAGGGAACTAGGGCGGCCAAAGAAGTAGACAACTACCTATGGGGTATGGTGCAGAGGCCATGGGCATGTAGGATAAGGCAATAAAGGTAAGCACCGCTGCTATGTATCTCACTAATGTAGCCTTATTGTGGTGGAGGCGCAGGTGTGATGATGTTAGGCATGGGAGTGCCAATATTGGAACCTGGGCAGAGTTTCAAAAAGAGTTCAGGGAGTAATTTTACCTTGAGTATACCGATGATAAGGCATGGGCAAAGTTACGCAGGCTGAGCCAGCAATGGGATATAAGGGAGTATGTCCAAAGATTCTTTGAACTTATGCTATAGATTTCGGATCTAGGCGAGAAGGATGCCTTATTTGCTTTCATGGATGGGCTGAAGCCGTGGGTGAAGCATAAGCTACAACGGAAGGGAGTTCATGACTTGGCTAAAGCCATTACTACTATTAAGTCTTTGATAGAGTTTAAGCCTCTGAACAAGTTCGAGTCTTCCAAGCCCTTGAACAAGTTCGAGTCTTCCAAGCCCAAGGGTAAGGGTAAGGACAAAAGGGATCGAAAAAAGCAATCCAAGGGGAAGGACTGTGACCAGGAGTCCAAGGATGGCAAGAGGAAGCCGCCAGCAGGCAAGTGGAAAGCAAAAAGGGACTGAGAGCCACTAGCATGCTACCTATGTGGAGGGAGCCACATAGCGTACAATTACCTACAGAAGAGCAAGCTGGCTATTGTAGACAAGAAGTCTGACGAGGAGCCAGAGTCAGGGACAGCAAAGCTTAGGTCATTAATGCTCAATGTTGTCTAAAGCAAGGGGAGTTACAAGCCAAAAGGCTTGATATTTGTAGATCTGATGGTTACGGGTTAAAAGGTGAGTGCACTAGTGGACACAAGTGCCTCACATATTTTTATTTCAGGTGATAGAGCCCAAAAGCTCAGACTAAAGGTGCAGAAAGGGACTGGTACCATTAAAACGATGAACTCCAAGGAAGTTTTAGCCATTGGAGTAACGCGGGGAATGAAGTTGCAACTTGGAGACTGGAAAGGCAAAGAGACCATAAAGGTAATACCCCTGATGACTATGAGTTTATGATTGGGTTGGATTTCCTTATTCAGATTAATGCCTTCTTTGTGCCTTTTGCCAATTGTATTTACATCTTGGATGCACGGTGCCAATGCCTAGTACCATTGAGGAGAGGGTCTGGAGTTGGGTCGCAAGTGGTGTCAGCCATCCAATTTGCCAAGGCAGTAAGCAAAGAAGAACACACCTTCTTGGCAGCCCTGAAGTACGAGGAGCCAAGGGAAAAAGAGACCAAGTCACCCTTGAAAGTGCTAAAGGTGTTGAAGACCTTTAGTGATGTGATGCTCGCAAAGCTACCTAGCCAGCTACCACCTAAAAGGTAGGTGGATCATAAGATCAAGCTGGTGTCTGAAGCCAAGCCACCAGCTAGAGCCTCTTATCGAAAGTCCTCACCAGAGTTGGAAGGACATCCAATCATGTTCGAAAGCAGAAAGCTGAACGAGATTGAATGTAAGTACACGATCCAAGAGAAAGAGATGACTGCAGTGGTGCACTACTTGCGCACTTGGTGCCATTACTTGTTAGGGTCGAGGTTCATGGTTAGGACGGACAATGTGGCGACCAGCTACTTCCAGACGCAGAAGAAACTATCCACCAAGCAAGTAAGATGACAAGATTTTCTTACGAAATTTGATTTCCATATGGAGTACAAGCCAGGATGGGGGAACCTGATGGCAAACCCCTTAAGCAGGAAAGCTAACCATGCTGCCATTAGCCAACTAGAAGGGTCACTAGTGCCGTGCATCAAGAAGGGACTTACGCATGATCCTACAGCCAAGGCTCTTATGGAATACGCCTAGCAAGGTAAGACTAGGCGGTTTTAGGTGCAGGATGGTTTGTTGTACACCAGGGGCAATAGACTATTTGTGCCACAGCATGGGAAGCTCCGCAAGAAAGTTTTATAAAAGTGCTATAATTCAAGGTGGGCTGGACACCCAAGAATGAGTCGTACCTTAGTGTTGTTAAAGGACTGGTACTACTGATCGCACATGAGGGACAATATAGAGGCCTATGTGAAGACTTATCTTGTGTGCCAACAGGACAAGGTGGAGCTCAAGAAATCAGACGATCTTTTGGAGCCATTGCCAGTGCCAGAACGACCATGAAAGAGTGTTTCTCTGGACTTTATAGTCGGTCTACCTAAGGTAGAGGGGTTTGGAAGCATCATGGTAGTGGTGGATAGGTTTTCTAAGTATGGAATCTTCATTCCAACAACTAAGAAGTGCCCAGCCGAAGAGGTAGCTCAATTGTTCTTGAA